CTCTCGCTATCTCTCTCTCTGTCAAATAAATAAATAAAAATTAAAAAAAAAAATATAACAACATATACATGAAATGGAGAGGAAAGGAGTAAAAAATGGGTTCAAACTTAAACAACCATCAACTTAATATAGACTGTAATATGCAGGTTATATGCAAGCATAATGGCAACCATATATCAAAACTAACAAGTATGCATAGAATAAAGAGAAATAAATCCAAATATATCACTAAAGAAAATCAGCAAACCCTGAAAGAGAGAAAAACAGGAAACAATTAGAGAAAATCTTGGAAACAACCACAAAACAAATAATAAAATGACAATATATACTTATCAATAATTACTTTGAATGTAAATGAACTAAACACTCCAATCAACAGACATAGGGTGACAGAATCGATGAGAAAACAAGACCCACCTACATGCTGCCTACAAGAGATTCATTTTAGACCTAAAGACATCTGCAAATTGAATGTGAGGGAAGGAAGAAACATCTATCATGCAAATGGAGATCAAAAGAAAGCCAGAGTAGCAATACTTGTATCAGACAAAATAGACTTTAAAACAAAGACTGTAACAAGAGACAAAGAAGGACTCTATATAATGATAAAGGGGACAATCCATCAAGATATAAGCATTGTAAATATTTATGCGACTAGTATAGGAGCACTGAAATATATAAAACAATAACAAACATAAAGGAACTAATCAATAATAATACAATATTAGGAAAGGACTTTAACACCTCACATCAATGGACTGATCATCTAAACAGAAAATCAACAAGGAAACAATGGCTTTGAATGCACATGGGAACAGATGAATTTAACATATATGCAGAACATATTATCCTCAAACAGCAGAACACACATTCTTTTCAAATGCACATGGAACATTCTCTGGAATAGATCACATATTAGCCCACAAAACAAGCTTCAACAAATTCAAGAATATTGAAATCATACCATGCACCTTTTCTGACCACACTATGAAACTAAAAGTCAACCACAAGAAAAAATCTGGAAAAACCACAGATACATGGAAGTTAAATAAAAGCCTACTAAACAATGAGTGAGTCAACCAGGAAATAAAAGAAGAAATAAAAAAAAATACATGGAAATAAATGAAAACACAATGGTCCAAAACCTTTGGGATGCAGCAAAAACGGTCCTAAGAGAGAAGTTTATAGCAATAGAGCAATACCTCAAGAAGCAAGAAAAATCTCAAGTAAATAACCTAACCATACACCTAAAGGAGCTGCAAAAAGAATAACAAAAATCTAAAACCAGCAGAAGAAAATAATAAATACTAGAGCAGAAGTGATATAAAAACTAAAAACAAACAAACAAACAAAAAACAATAGAACAGAGCAATGAAACCAGGAGCTGCTTCTTTGAAAAAAATCAAGAAAATTGATAAACTTCTAGTCAAACTTATGAACAAAAAAAGAGAAAAGACTCAAATAAATCAAATCACAAATGATAAAGGAGAAATAACAAACATCACCACAGAAATACAAGCCATTATAAGATAACTTTATGAAAAACAATATGCCAAAAAACTGGGCAACCTAGAAGAAATGGATAAATTCCTAGAAACATATAAACTACCAAAACTGAAACAAGAATAAGTAAAAATTTTGAACCAACTGAACCAGCAAAGTAATTACATCAGTAATCAAAATAACTCCCAATAAACACAAGTCCAGGACCAGATGGCTTCACAGGTGAATTTTGCCAAATGTCTAAAGAAGAGTTAATACTTAATCTTCTCAAACTATTCCAAAAATTAGAAAAGGAAGGAAAACTCAAATTCATTCTCTGAGGCCAGAATGACTCTGATTCCAAAACCAGATAAAGACAGCACTAAAAAAGAGAACTACAGGACAATAGCCCTCATGAACATAGATGCAAAAATCCTCAACAAAATACTAGCACACCAAATCCAACAATACGTTTAAAAATTCATTCACCATGATCAAGTGGGGTTTATTCCTGGGTTGCAAGGGTGGTTCAATATTTGTAAATCAATAAGCTTTATACATCCCATCAATAAGAGAAACTATAAGAACCATATGATCATTTCAATAGACACAGATAAAGCATTTGACAAAGTATCCATCCATTCATGATAAAACCCTCAACAAAGTAAGTTTAGAGGGAACATTACTCAACATAATAAAGGCCATATATGAAAAACTCACAGCTACATCATCCTCAATGGGG